AGAAACGAAGGATCGTCATCTATTTACAGATGGCAGATCCTGACAGTGCTTACTGTTAGTGGAGATTTGCGTTTAATTGTTTGTTGTTTTTTTTTGAATGTTTTCTTGTTGTTCTGATTCTTATACTTGAGACGCTCGAAACTGATTTAATAGGTAAATTTGGTGTTGGATCAGAACTGGTTGTACATTTGGTTTTTTGGTGGAAAACATATGTAGCCACGCACTCTTGATTGAAGTTTTGTGGGTTGTGAATGGCTTTGGGTTCTTTTGTTTTTGTCAGTGTTGGTTTTTTTTGGAAGTTGTTGCTGTTAGAATTGAATCTTGTATGATAATTTTTTTGTAAAGGTAATTGTTGATGATGATACCGCCGGTATTAAGTTTTTTAGCAGGGAGAGGTTCATGATGTATTGTAACATGTGAAATAGCATTGATGTCATAGCTTCGTTTTAGATCCACAATAGATAGGACACAGATAGGAAGTAGTATTCATTCAGGAATGCTGGAATTATTCTAGTTCTGAAAATGATGATATTTATTATAGTTACGGTTCCTATGGTGCAGTATAGTACAATGATAAACGAAAAAAAAACTGGAAAAATGTCTGTTTTTAGTTTGCAAGGTTGAGTGGCTTGTACTGCTGCTGTGATTCTCTAGTAGAATTAATAAAATGAGATTCAATGAGATTATATGAATAATTTTAAAGACGTACTTTATTCTTATTTTTTTGTGTCGGTGCGTTTCAAATGACCTACCGGTGGCCGTTTGTTCATAAGTAGATCCTGTATGCGCAACGACGGGTAGTGCTTTTGTAAGATCTTTACCCGAAAATCTTTTACTGTTGGATGGTTTGCAAAATGTTTGGGTAATTGTTTATTTAATTCATGTTCACGTTCAGCTATAGTCGTATCGTCCCAATCAGTTCCATGTGGTAGATGGAATGAAATTTCTTGCTGTTGCGAACTATTTTCACTTCTTTCTTTTTTAGCAGCTGCTCGATTCTTATCATAGATCGAAACATGTTTGCGAAGTTTTTCATAATTCACCGTGAGAAATGGTGGATAGATGACTGTGACACCGAAATCTTCATAAAATTCATCTAAAGCTTCGTCGAAGATATGTTCGGAATGACCGCGTCGAAGTAGTTCTCTTTGAATTTCTCCTGTTTCAGAGTGAAACATGACAGAATCACAACAATAACGTACGGCTTTCAATAACGCTTTGCGTAGCCAATTCCAAATATTTTCATTTGGATTTTGAAGTTGATTAAGTTCCGATGATAAAAAATCATTGTAGAACATTTCCTGATGGTAAACCCCTGTGAAAAGATGACCAGTATTATGACCCACTTTGATATCAACAAAATGGATTGGGTAATCAATGCTGGAAATATGCCATTTGACTTCTGGAAACCTGCTTTTAGCTATGCTAAATAATGACGATAATTGTTGTTCAGAATGATTCCATGTAATAAATGCTTCGTCCCGATATCTAAATATGAAACAGAAAGACACCTTCATTAGATGACTACATCATTTAGTTGAAATATGATAGTTCTACCTGACAAAAAGTTCATTCTTATCAATTAAATCATTCATGATAATTTGGTCCGTATAGAAGAAGTAGATATAAACTAATGGAATTGTTAAAGGTGAACCTGATGCACTACCCCTTATCTATTGATACATTTTACATTTGTAGACAAAATATTGATTTTCCAGAACGAGACGAACCAATTGAAGAATTGTATCAATAGTCATACCTAGTATCAGATGATCTGGTATATAAGTATTGAGAAAATTTTCTAAAGCATTTATAGCTTCTCCATGTGAAAATCTTATACATAAATCATCAATATTAAATGAGGCGAATTTCGTCGTTGCTTGAAGATGACCGTTCTTCTGATAAAATTCTAAAGTATGTATCAGTTCAGCAGGCTTTTTAAGTTTTTGACAAGAGGTTGCCTGACTAAACAATTCATTAAAAAGAGAGGCAAGAAAACGGCTAATACCCATTATCGGTCCATCATTGCAAACCATGATTGGTCGAATTGGTTCTCCTTCCTATAAGTACCAAGGCAAAAAAAAAACATTAACTAAATTTAAAAAATCGATGAGAAATGGAGCATACTTTATGCGTTTCCGGGACGAAGTATAAATAATTCATTTGCACCAATCTCTGATCTATCTTCATCTTCATATATTGGTTTTCAGTGATAGAGTTTGTACGATATAAATTTTCCAATGTTCTTTTTATTCGTTTAACTATTTTAGTTAAATAATCTTGACTTGCACCGTTAGAATAATAAGTGAATTTGAAAATCAATGAGTAGATGTCGGTTTGTTTCATGAATTGGTTTGCTTTTTCTGAAAAAGTTTCGTGCGAATCTAAATAATATCTAATACCTTTATAAACTGGTCGTAGGATAAGATTGTTTTTCTTTAATTGACAACGAAGGGCTAAATATTTTTCTTCATAAGAGTAAGCGTCTCGACGAGCATACCGATTGGTTAATTGATTCTTGAGAGATGAAACAAAATTTGGAAACATAGACCAGTCCTCATTTTTCAAAACTTTTGCTTCTTTGTGATGATGACTTATTTCATTGTCTTTGTCATCTTCATCTTCAGACGAGGATAAATCGTTTTCATTCATTTTGTTGTCGGGTCAGTTTAATGCAGGAAATAACTCGTCACTTTCTTCTTTCAAGTCGTCAACAGTTGCTAAGTCTTCTGTATCTATGGAATCATTGGTTTGTTCAGCCATTGGAGTCAATGGAATTCAATAACAATTGTCTATAGTACTTGAGTACCTAAAATATAGACGAGAACATAGATGAATATAGAGCAGAAGGAAATTGTCGATTGTATTGAAAGGTATATATGTAGTATATGAAAAGGAATCTCGAAGCCAAACTACCCAATTTCCAGAACAGCAGCTGACTATGTGTTACATGTCTAAATGAAGTTTGTGGAGAAGAAAGATTAAAACATACCCTTCAGTGTTTCGATGCGTTGTAGACAGATGATGATGGCAGCAGAAACTGAAATATTATCTAAAATGATACAGATTTTTTGATATATGTGATTCTAAATATTGATAGTGTATCGTTAGATGCGCTGAGTATTCTATTCATACAACGTCTATGCTAAAGGCAGCTATACCGAAACAAAAAAGAACACAATTAAGAACTAGAAAAAGAGATATAACACCAATCGACGATCTTGCCCTATTCTTTCCAGGTTCTTGTTTTTCTTGGTTTTCAGACAAGATTCTTTTTCTATTCTTTCTATACAAGATTCTTGCCTGAAAAAACTGATCTTGCCTTTCTGACAAGATTCGTGTAG